ATAATAATTTAACATCACGCCTTTAACCCCAAAGGGGTAGGCAAGGGCTCATTACGGGACTTAATGCAACTGTACAATGTCAAAAACACCCACTTTTCACTATTTATGTTATGAGTCCTATGTAATAGGGGGTGAGCCTATTGCCATATACCGGGCACTATTCCAGACTCCGTGCTATAACTGAGAATTTTTACAAGACCCAGTGAATTATAATGACTTGACTTTATTTATCTTAGACTGCAGTTTAACCTGAATAATTTGTACTTCCATTACGCTATTTATTAATGCAGGTAGGTACAAAATAATAGTTTATTTAATTATCGTTCTTATTGAGTTGGAATAAGAACTTCAATAAGTTATTAGACGTTTTGTATTTAAACTGTCAAACACCAAGCGCTCACCGGTGACCGCAACCTATTGTTCTATAATTGTGTCTATAATGACGGTACTCGACGAGTTAAACTGTTAAACACCGAGCGGTCACCGGTGACCGCAACCTATTGTTCTACAATTGTGTCTATAATGACGGTACTCAACGAGTTAAGACCCAGAATTTGGTATTTGCATTATGATAAAATATTATTATATATTATACAGATCATAATAAAATATTTTTCACTTTGTGAACGAGAGCTAAAACATCAGTAATTTTGGCAGGCCCCTCATCTTCCAAAGCCTTGCAGTATTTTGAATACTTAAACAAAAACGAATCAAAAACAATATTTTAAACCGACTTATGAAAGAGGAGGTCCACAGTATGACCTGTATGGAGGTACTTATATATGTATGTTTGTTTTATGTTCGTATGTGCAATTATCTCGCGACTGGCTGAACCGATTTTGATACTGTTTCCATAAAAGTGTTTGTTACGCTTAGAAGGTTTTAGTATTTAACCGACTTCGAAAAAGGAGGAGGTTCTCAATTCAACCGTATATACGCTTTTTTTTCTACCCATATTAATTCACTGAATTCAAAAAATAGGGGGAAGGAGTCGGTTTTTTAAAAGTTTATAATATAATAATTATTGACTCAAATATTTTTAGGGCATTCGTTCAGTTCGTTGAAAAAACACACTGGTATTTTTACTTACAATATCATTCGAAACATAACACACACTGTATTAATTATAGATTCTATCACTTGGTATGACTTCTTATCACACTCATATATTTTTATTTACTTTTCCTGTTTGTGGGCTAAGTAAGGCATATAGATCAATAATGGAAAATATACTATTTTCGTTAAACAATTGATACAAATGCACGCACCACATTATCCAGACTAGTGACTACCCACAATAAAATCAATATCTTTTATAGACCTTTGTTACTGACCAATCTAAGGTTGTAGGTACTATGTAAGTCTATGTCAGGGTTCCTATTTACTGGCCTAAGTGTGGCTTTGCCTCTTTATTGTGCAACTTAGCAGTGGTTTTGATAATTTTAATCACAATTAGTTCTTTACTAGCTGTGCCGGTTCAACTTCATACCGCCTAAAATTTATATCACCCTTTAAACATTTCCTGGACTTCCACGAAAATTTCAAGACCAATATTAGACACCTCGGTTCAGCCGTTCCCTAGTTAATGAAATGAAATGAAAAATGTTTATTCGGCATAAGACATGCACGCCAGAAAAGACATAAATATAAAAAAAGCATAAAAACAGAAAAATTAAAAGATAAAAGTTAAATTATAAAACTAAAACTAAAACTAAAGCAAGCCAATAAGCCATTCAAGTGCGCGGTGTTGGCGGACATGTCCAATCCGAACGGGTCACCAACTCAGCATAAAGCTGGGCACAATGAGCACCCAACACTGATTTTCAGTTGGCACCCCTGCAGTGACGCACGGACGAGAGCAACACATACTTGTAATCCACATAATTATGTATAGAAACTTTGTTATTAAACTGTCAAACACCAAGCGGTCACCAGTGACCGCAACCTATTGTTCTATAATTGTGTCTATAATGACGGTACTTGACAAGTTAATTTTGTGTGTTCAATTTATTAACAAATATAATAGTTATTAATAATGTGCTACAATAATTGTGGAGTTATGTGTGTAATGTGTGGACAGCTCATGCCAATGTATGATTTGAGATATGATGAAACAGGGACGGCTGTAATAATCAATATTAGAATTAAATAGGTCAAATAAAAGACAGGTCCGCGTTTATTTCAGCGCTGCTGATTTGGGAAGTAAGCACAAACTCCTTGAGCTTTCTTCTGAAAGTACTTATACTTTGCAGATTTCTGATTGGCGGAGGGATGTTGTTCCAGCACTTCGATGCCGCATACCTGAAGCTACCCCTAAATGCAGCAGATTTGTGTTGCGGTATAGCCAGCTGCTGCGCACAACGCCTACCCTCTCGCCGGCGATGTGCATTCACCCACGAGAGTTTCAAGTAGAGATATGACGGACATTTGGTTCTTATGACACCAAAGAGGAGACAGGCCAGATGAAGCTTGCGACGTGACTTCATTTTTAACAAATTGTGTTTATTGAGATATGGTGTAATGTGGCTCCTTGGTGGTATTTTGAAACAAAAACGTGCGCAAGCATTCTGTACTCTCTGTATCAATCGTTTGGTGCGCGATAGGAGTCTGGGGCCGATGACCGTGTCCGCGTAATTTAATTTAGACAGTACCAGAGATTCGGCCAACTGCACACGCAACTCCTCACATAGGTACGGGCGCATTTTGTACAGTACTTTCAGACGATAAAAACAATTTCTGACGCAATTTGAGACGTACGATTCGAACCTGAGGCCCTGATCCATAACCAAACCCAAATTTTTTGCATCATAAACGCGCTCGACTGTCTGGCCCCTCAGTAACAAGTTAGCGCCGTTTATAGGTATTCTTTGCAACTGACCATTTGTTCCAAACAGCATATATTTGGTCTTAGATGGGTTGAGAATGAGACAGTTATCACTCGACCAATCAACAATTCTGTTGAGATCCTCATTAATATACCTCACCGCACCATCGTACTTTTCTGGTCTAAAAGAGAAATAAATTTGGAGATCGTCGGCGTAAATGTGAAATTTGCAATTTTTTATCACTTTAACGATATCTGCACAATATAATATGAATAATGTTGGCCCTAATATCGATCCCTGGGGAACCCCCTTAGTCACTGGTTTCACACGCGATCTCAAAGTGGAACCATTCACACCGCGGACCTCAACGAATTGGGCACGATTACTGAGATAACTATTGAACCATTTGATGGTTGAAGTGTTGAAACCATAGTACGCCATCTTGGATAGCAATAAGGGTAGGTTGATGGCGTCAAAAGCCCTCGAGAAATCCAACAGGACCAACATAGTGCATAAACCTTCGTCTTGTGCTGACAGAATATTGTCGGTGACATCCAGCAAAGCTGTTGCCGTACTACGACCCCTCCTGAAACCCGACTGCGCCTCCGGAAGAGCGCCGCTATCCTCGAGATATTTAGACAATTGCTCATTTACCACTCTTTCCAGCACCTTCGAGAGCAGCGGTAAAATGCTAATAGGCCTCAAGTCTTTGAGATCGCGGGGGTTATTTGTTTTGGGTAATGGACGCACCATTGCAAGCTTCCAATCCTCTGGAAAGGTCGACGTTCTAATTGATTCATTTATAATATTTGTTAAAATGTCAAGGGTATTCGGAACAGTCATTATAAACATATTCAACGTTATGTGATCACAGCCTTCAGCATTAGATTTAAGGTTAGTCAATATCTTCATAACTTTACTGTCATTCGTGGTTTTGAGGTTGAAAGTTTTGTCAGAAAATTTGTGAAATTCAAAATAGGTAAGATATGATACCAATATATCAGTTTCACCGGGTACGTTTAAAAAATGGTCGTTGATTTTGTCGGGATCGTTAAAATGTGGTGGTAGATCCATGTCGCATTTGGAAGGCAGCAAAGTTGTTTTCAAATTTTTCCAAAGCGTTTTGAGGTTGTTTATATTGTTATTAATGTTAACCCTATAGTAAGCAACTTTTTCAAAGTAAATTGATTTATTCACCAGTCGCTTCAGATCCAAGTAATACTGTCTTTTATAATTTAACGATTTATCATCCAAATACTGTCTGTACGCCCTATCTCGAAGGTTCATCATAAACTTGATGTTGTCAGTGATCCAAGGAGGTGATTTTTCCCTTATTGTTACATTCTTACGTGGCGCAAGTGAATCAAATACACTCAATATATTTTTGCATAGATAGTGTACCATAACGTTGACGTCGCGCGATGCCATGGGCACCTGCCAGTTGATCGAGTTCAGTGACTCAATGAAACCATACGTATCAATACTTTTGATATTTCTACAAGTTATGGTCATAGGTCGTATTTTTTCTTTTTTAAATTGGAAGGTTGCGGAAATGAACGAATGCGCCCCGAGTGCTTCGATCGGATCCACTGTGATATTAGTAACCTTTGCGTCCGTACACACCAAATCGATTAGAGACGAGCTGTTATTTGTAAAATGTGTCGGCGTAGGCACCAGCTGAGTAAGGTTCAAACAGTCCAGAAACATTTGTAATTTATACACTTTTGTGTCAGACGCGGATGTATTTAAGTAATTAATGTTAAAGTCCCCCAAGAGTACGGTATGGCTACAAAATGATAAAGAGTTTAGTTTTAGCGGGACTAACGAACAGATTCATTTTTATTGTTAAAGATAGATGAAACTACCCGTCAACTATAATCTTTTTGTAACTTGATCATAATCTTGTTTCTATCATTAACTATTAAAACAATAGGGAAAATTATTATAATCAATGACTACAGTCAAAGTTCAAAACCTTTGCATTCAGCACGGATGCAAAACATCATGGACTTATCAATTTGTCATTCATTTCCAATGACAAATGACGATATAACCCTATGTTTAGACTATTATATCTAGGTAGGTTACTAGGTGAACCTAAGTCACTCAGTACAGCGGTCAAAAGTTGAAACAAGAATCGTTAACTTACTAAAATTTTAAAACAAAACTACTTACGTAAAAGGTGTCTAATTAAAACATGTAATCACTATTCAAATAATCACAATCACGCACAAGATTGTTGTAAACAAATATGAAAGAAGGGAACACGGTGATACGACCGGCCGCGATGGAATCGCGCGGGCAACTGACTTCAAAATAGATGTTATGTAGTTATACCCGCTAACAAAGAGTTATCGAGTATCGAGGTTTTAATCAAAAACAGTGAGTTATTGGTATATCTAACAAGGTGGATGTTACACAAACAATGCATTAATTGGAGTCTGTTAGAGTTGCAAGGCCAAATATAGTGCAGTTTTTCTGAATTTCGATGTACTTAGGTATAACCGGAAAATTTGATGATGTTGATAAAGATGTGAACTGTTATCGACTGACGATGGAAACGTTTACTTTCATGTTAGTATATAATTTGACATACAAATACGTTAACTTGTTAATGTCCAATTATGAAAAATCCACAACATTTGTTCATACAAAAGTAGTCTCTAAACATCGGATATAAGGTCTATAATGGTGTAAGTGGAGCGAGCGGTCACCGGTGACCGCTGTTTTTTTTTTTTAAATCATCGTATGACTTCTCCCGCCTGGGTGAGGAGGGAGGGAGTGTCAGACTCTTACTAACTAAAAACCACCCCGTTCCTACTGCTGCACTTCGAGCCGGAGCCCTGGCAACCCGATAAGTCCTCCGCTGCAAAAAAATAACAGAGATATATCGTGGCTTAGATCTTGATCAGTGGTAACAGCTGAAAAAATAGATGTTCCTGTTCATAATAAGATTACTTTTTTTATAATTGTAATCGTAAAATTCATCATCATCAAATCAGCTGCAAGACATCCACTGTTGAATATAGACTGTTCTTTTATCGTCTAGATAAAGACGATAAATAACATAAACTTCATGCTACATGCATTTTGTTCCCCAAATACGTATGCAGCATAAAATCAGCATGACGAAGCAGGATTAAGATCGAAAACGTCACCAAGTTGCCTTTATCTCAGCATCATCTAAAAATACACATTTGACGTATTAAGTGTATTCAGTATTCATCCGAATGTCCATCAATGATTCCTTGTGGTAAATTAGGAAAAATATTACACATAAATAATACATGGACAGACCATTTGTTAAAAATGTTAACAAATAATATTATTTTTACAGTTCGTTAATTTGGACCTTGTTGTTGGACATGGACATCTGTTTAAAGAATTAAGCCTGCTTGTCTGAACAAGCTTTAATTAAGGTTATTAAAGAAATAAAGAAAAACATCAATTCAGGCGTAATTCAAGAAACATGAACGTCATCAACAGCCTATAAATGCCTACTTGCCCACTGCTAAGCAAAGCCACTACCCACACGGAGAAGTCTTGAGCATTAATCACCACGCATGCTCAATGCGGGATGTACCTTTTTTTGAGGGGGGAATATCATCCAATTACTTCTCCCGCCCGGGTGAGGCGAGAGGGAGTGTCAGACTCTTACTGACTAAAAACAACCCCGTTCCTACTCCTGCACTTCGAGCCGGAGCCCCGGCAACCCATTAAGTCTTCCGCGACTCCGTATCGGCATCAGTGCTGTTGGGCCCCACCTGTGGTGGTCTGATGGCTCCTTGGGGCGCGCGCGGAACGCGACTGCCTCAACCTTAGCTAGCATGACTGCTTCGCAGAAGAAGGAGACGGCATCCCAGTCACCCTCGCTCCGTACCATGGTCTGAACCAGAGGACACGGCGATCCAGCGGACACGGCACATCATATCCCTGAGGACACGGCGGTGCTCAGCCCGCGCAGGGCACACCGCCACCGTATGCTCCACCGTGTCCTCAAATTATATGTACCTAAGTCTAAGTTTCCTCACGATGTTTTCCTTCATCGTTTCTCATAGGTGTCTAGATAATCTTAATCTTTTTCTTTTTTCTTACACTTCTTACTTCAGTCAGACGGCGGATAGCAACTTTGTTTTATACTATGTAGTGATGTAGTGATACTTGTAATCAACCAGTTAAGGCTGAAATTGCATGAATAATACGTAAACAAAAACGATGGAAGTTGTAAAAACAGTTTTTTGTCAGCGTTCTCGGGAGCGTTCTGTTTAGTTTGTATATTTTGATTACAGCAAACCTCTGTATCTGTATTAGATAAGTATTTTAGGCGTGCTCCATCGTAGGCTGCTTTCCTTTCTCTGGAGCCCTGACCGCAGCAGCATGGATTTCTACCGTTACCGGTAGGCTACAACTTGTTATATGAATGTTTTCTGCTGACTGCACGGTTGATGCGGTGGCTGGGCAACCGGCTGCCGTGCAACTTGTCGCGGGTTCGATTCCCGCACGGAACAACACTTTGAATAATCCACAATTGTTGTTTCGGGTCTGGGAGTCATGTGTATGTGAACTAGTATGTTTGTAAACGCACCCACGACACAGGAAAAAATCCTAATGTGGGGCAACGTTTTTTAAAAAGAAAAGAAAAGTTTTTGAAAATATTATCTATACATATAAAAAAATCTGTAGAAGTGTAAATTCTGTACACTGAAAATATAAAAAGAATAAAAAGTAGGTATGGGGTGTTACTAGAAAGAGGCCGAACCCAAAAATGTGAATAAAAAAGTATGTCTGTCTTGCACTGGACTTTACGTTACAACTATAGGACAGATGGTTCAAATTAGCTTGAACCGATATTTTAAACGTAAAAAAATGTGTGCCTGTGTGTATGTTTGTTACTCAGTCACACCAAAACGGCTAAAGGGATCAGAATGAAACTTGGAACAGCGATAGACTATTGTCTGGAGTAACACATACTTATAGGCTACTTTTTACCCCTGGGAACGCGGTCGAAGCCGCTGGCTGAAACTAATAAAAAAATAAAGGACTATTAAATACAATACCACTTGTTTACTAAGACATGCACATTAAAAACCACCTTTAAAACTGCTAATGTGTTTATTTCACTTTGTACATTCGGCTCCTTTAAGTACCTAAGTAAATAGTACAAGATCCCTTTGACACCGTGTCGTTATTTGGAAAACGTTGTAGTGTTGTCTCTATACTCTAAGACTAAGGTTTAGTTTACACACGAGGTTGGCCGCATTTGAGACGAATGCGTACGTGTGTGAAGTCAGCTATGTTACCACTGCGATTGCCCCACCAGCGCGCCACCAACAAGGTTGTATTCATAAAATCATGGAGATTATTTTATCACTTAGGTATTGGCTATCTAAATTAAATTAAGATATTCAATAAAAATGATGGAATGGATGGAAAAGAACGTCAGTTTTGGTAGGCATCTACTTCGTTAAACAAATAATAGATATCTAAGTATTACATAATTAAATAATCGGTATGTAAAGTAGATAAGTAAGTAGATATAGATACTTAAATATTCATAATAAGTAGGTATAAAACATCTCTAGCCGTAGTCCTATTGTGCTTTGCCACTTTCACGATTAGTTTCTAGTCTAAAAAAGTATTTTAGAGCGACTATATCACCAGAAAAAACTTAAACGATGTAAAGAAAAGCAGTTGGCACATAAACGTACAATATAAATAAATAATATCTCATTAAAAGTACTATACCACACGACAAATATTTTGCTTACATCATTGTAAACAATACACTTTTATTCATAGCTTTGCTAGTGACATCTAGTATTCGTTTCCAGAATATAACAAGAAACAGTTTTTACTAAGCAATGCTAGATGGCACTACTTATGACAAAATTAATCTATATTAACATCACGCTTGCTTGTTGGCTAACAAAGTGGAGGAAGGAACAATAAAAACGTCTAGAAGAAAAAAATTAACAAAAATGAGTCAGAATCGTAACAATTGTGTCTTAATTACTTGTAATAAAGTCTAAAATCGACTTTTCTCCACAGAGAGACATAAATATTGTTATCATAAACACCGGTGAAGTTGTTTACAAAGTTTTATCACTCCAAATACTGCCTAAAGTAATTTAATCTCTATGACGTAACTATTAGAGTTCAGTGTACTAATAAAAATATTATTATAGCGTAAACAAAGATTGAACCTCCGGTTATTTTATCGTAAATTTATTCGAGTCAATAACAAGGCTAATCGATACCTCTTTGACAGTGATAATTATAAAATCTATGTCAATAAAATACCTGTAAGATTACTATTAATGTTAGTTTATCTTAAAAACTTGTAGGTAAATAGTTTAATGTTACTTTTTATTATTATTTTAGTCATAGATATTATTGGTCATCAACAGCCTAAAATGCCCACTGCTCAGTAAAGCCTCTTTTAAAACGTAGAATGTTTGAGCATTAATCACCACCCTTGCACAATGCGTGTTGGCCTTCAAACCTCAAGCGGTTACTGGTGATTGGTGATTGCTATCCACTGACTTCATTATAGACCTTATTTCCGATGTTTAGAGATTACTTTTGCATGAACAAATTTTGGGCATTTTAGGTACGATGTATCAAATGATTAACGCTTAACTATTAGGGGATCTTAAAACTCACTAGCGCCACCTGCTGTTTATGAAAACAGAATATTAAAATTAAAACAGGATTAAAAAATGAAATCACGTTTGTTATATAAAATTAGTTTATTTCTTATAAGCTAAAATATAAAAACGATTCTCTTAATTAGGAAGTTTATGCACTCATTTACGTGGCGCATGTTTGTAATTGTGTACGAGAATATTTTTGACAAAAATGTAAGTAAATAACATTTTCATGGACATGACACGCAGACATATTTTGGCTCCATCTTTTCCATAAAGAGATCAATATAACAAAAAAAAATTTAAGATAATCTGGATTTGATTACATAATAAAACTTTTTCTTTAAACTCTATACAAATATTTCTTCCAAAATCATAGTTATTAAGGTTCTAGAAAGTTCTAATCAAAAAAATTCCTACGATTTTTCAAAAACATATACAATTTTATTCAATCTAATATATGGTAACCAGATAATCCAAAATCCAGAAAATAGCTTTAATATCAACCTTTCGTTATTCGAGGTTTATCTCCCAAAGTAAATCACCGCTCATTATAACTATCCTGTATAAACTAAATCCTCCAAAACTTTAACAAAGTAAATGCGATAACAATGTGATAGTGGACAGAGAACTGAATGATGCTAATTCTGGTGTAAGAACAAATTTAAATCTATTGTAACACCGAAATGATGAAAACCAATAGATAAACAAAAAGAGCTCATCACATACAAAATTGAAGTAATCGAGCAACTAAAAAAAAACAGGGACAATGAAATCCTATGCATCTCAGGGACATAACAACTGTCATAGATTTCGCAAGCGATTTGGGAATATACGCAGACGAATTACCTGATATTAAGTAAGTAATGTACCGCAGAGGAACACCCGTAAGTCCCGTAACTCGACAGAAGTTACAATTAGGTAAGCTATTGCTGGCTTTTAAAGGGAGGTGAATGCGACTGGTTTTCTGGGAGGCCATTGTGACAGTCGAGCCAGCGTGTTCCTACCAACACATGACTTTCCCATTCAGCCATCGCATCAATCAAAAGACAATCATTGGAAGATAGGAAAAGGAACGGTTCTCACTTTCTGCGGTTTTGAATTTGACTTAACCTTTGGTATTGAACGTAGATCTTGTATCTCACATAGTAATAGTCAAGAGAGGTTTAACAGAATTAGCATCATACAAAGTTCAATTGATAAAAATTCAAAGGCACTCCATTACCTAACCAACAAATAATATTAATAAGCTCCTAGCATCCAAACTTCATCAAAATAAAAGTATTTACAACAAAAGACTATTCAAATACCCACCGTAATGATAAAGACAATAGAAGTCACTTTTGCTATGCAACCACTGTTACTATAACAATGATTAAGATAAAGAATATTGGTATTTATTTACAATCGAATATGGCCGGTATTTGAATAACCTCAACCTAACTTGTAGCTGTACAAAAATTACTGAACAATTACATAGTAACCAGAAAACGTCCCATTCTCTAAAGTAAGGCACTTGGGGTATTGCTAACTTTTCTACTGGTGGATTATACCAAAATATAAAATCTCTTTAACTTTCTTGACAAAATCCTTTTACTTGCTTGTGATTTGTTTTTCGTATAAAAGAAATCCGGCAAGTCCTAAATTCTTCGGTTTAACCTCTTGTCTGTCTGAACGCAGATTTCCGAGAGACACAATATGTTTTCTATTGTATACTCACTCTATTATTCACATATCGACAGACAAGAGGTTAAACCATTTCTTACTAAGCAGCTCATTTTTAACAAGACATCCATGTTCTTTGTCTTATCTACAAAGTGATTTTAGATCTGATTCAGTCCTCAATCCAGAAGCATCTAAGTTAGCAACATCTTCCACTACTACGCGTACATCTTCTTCAATTCTTTCCTCAAGATCTTACCAGACGCCGTTTTAGGGATTTCGTCAACAAACATGACTTCTTCAATCTTTTTGTACACTGCTACTTTACTCGCCACAAAATCTTGTAGCTCTTCTTCTGTGATCTTTAGACCATTCTTTCTGATGATGAAAGCTTTTGGTGCTTCTCCGTAGAATTCATGAGGTACGCCGATAACAGCTGCGTCTTGCACTGCTGGGTGTGTCCGTAATAGACTTTCTAGTTCAGCTGGTGCAACTTGCATGCCTTTGACCTGGAAATTGAAGGAATTGTTGTGAGCTTATCATTACATGACTGTGTTATTAGTTTATTAAGAAAAGTAGTCACTGTCAATCGATTTTTAATTTCGGGATTTTATATAGCTTCACGTATATGTTTGACTGATGGCAATAATATATCATTAACATTACTATTACAGATATTATTTGTTATCAGCTACAATTTATTATTCTTAACGTAATAAATTGAGACCGGATAAGGTCAAGATAACACAGAATTTGTAATATTATTATTTTCTTGCCTTACCTTAATCAATTCCTTTATCCTATCAGTAATAAATAATCCAGCGCCAGGTTTGAAATACCCCATGTCTCCAGTCTTGAAGAAACCGTCCTTGGTCATCGTTTCTTCTGTTGCTTTAGGGTTTTTGTGGTATCCCTTCATCACTGTAGGACTCTTGATGTACATTTCTCCAGACTAAAATTAAAATAGAAACATTAACAAAAAACAGCACAAATCAACAATATTTTGTTCAGCTTAAGTAAATGATCTAAACAGCAAGAGTAATCTTTATTCCTTAAAATGCCGATCGGAGCAATATTGTGAGATTTCATGGCGACAATATCAATCATAAATTCATACCCAGTTTAAAAAAAGGTTACAACGTTTGTACGATGCTATATTTAACATATTCTTACAGATAGTTTCAATAACAATGTATGCATAATATTGTAGTTCCCTAAATTTTATTTTAATGTCCGTCTGGTAGATAATTTTAAAACATTACACACGTATTTTTTTTTTTCTCACAATATTTAATTAATGCTTTCGACGATATATTGATTTGAAATGTCGTGTGACGTCATAGAGTGCTACAAAATGTAGCACGTTGTGACGTAACTACCTCCCACTCCTAAACTTAACTCCATTTTATCTAAGTGTTGAAACTTTATACGAGAAAATAAAAAAATATGTGTCTAATATTTTTTCATTATCTAACTGACGGACTAATTAGATTTTTAGTTTTCTTACCCTGAAACTACACAATTGTGTTTCTGGTACTTACTTGTCCAACAGGGACCGGTTTTCCAGTAATAGGATCAGCGAACATGAGCTGCACGCTCGCCATGGGTACACCACAAGCGTTGAAGTCCACATTCTTAGTGCCCTTAAAGGTCGATGTACCCAACGACGTGGTCTCCGTCATACCGAAGCCTTGGTTGAATTCAATTGGTCGCTGGAATTCCAAAGATGTTGTAAGTCAATAATGTCTATAAGAGACGAGAAAAGGACAAGGATAGTTAATGTAAATGTGCAGTAGGCCAAGATTTTACAACCTTTGCAAGTCTATAAACAAATTGCACTGTTTTGTATCATTGTAATTGTCAAGAAGATGGTTGTCTAATCAGACAAACATGGATATAAAGTTTACAAAAGCCTTCAAGGATTAACAGGACAAACTGGTTAGACCTGACAAATATCCTATAATTCCTATTAACAAATAATCACAACGTTCCTTATAATTAGCATACATGAATGTAAAAATTGTGGTCTACCACGATGGGAAAGACCCTGTCTATATACCTCTAGTTCATTTAAACATTTATTGTTTAGTAATTCATATGGATTCTAACATGCCGATTCGGAGTCGCGGAGAACCTAACGGGTAACCGGGGCTCCGGCTCGACGTGCAGGAGAAGTAACGGAATGGTTTTTAGTCAGTAAGAGTCTGACACTCCCTCCCGCTTCACCCAGGCGGGAGCAGCCATTCTATGATTTTCCCGCCTTAAAAAAATGGATTCTAACATTTCATAAAGGAATACAGTCATAATTTTTATTCAGTATTTTGTAATACGACAAATCACGGCCCTTAGGACAAGGTCGAATCCATTTGCCCTATCTTATTACGGTAGTAGGCACGTCTCCTTAGTTAAAGTTAATGGATCGTGATTTAAATAACTAGGACAACAACGTACATTGGTATTTAAAACATTGGTTCCTCTATCCAATCATCAATGAGGACAAAGGTTGAACAATAACATGACTATTTTGAACTGAGAACATTTCTATGCACAGAAGTTATCAAAAAGTAAGACTGATTGATTAAATTAATATTTATAACTTAGAATGCACTGTAAATCTAAAGATCAAAGTCTAGTCAAAGTCAAAAGTCTACAAGATAGCGTGAAAGTCATTGACAAATGTCGATACAAGCCTGTTTTTGTCCAAAAATAATGTAGGTATATAAGTAATAATTGAATTAAGTAGAATTAAATGGCTTGAACGACACGATATCGACAACAATACAATGGTTTAAGAGTAAAAGATAAGATATAAAAACAATGCGAGAATAGAAAGGACAATGGGTCAATGCACTAAAGAGAGGATTACAGAACAATAGCTCAAATGTCAATAGTGAAAGTAACAAAACATGACATCACTCCTTTTATCCCCGAAGGGGTAGGCAGAGGTGCTCATTACGGCACTTAATATCACTGTGCAATGTAACGTCTACCTTTCACCATTTATGTTGAGTCCCATGTACTTAATAGGGGGTTAGCCTATTACCATATACGGGGCACATTTCCAGACTCCGTGTTACTACTGAGATTTTTTTATATTGATACAGTACTAACGATATGAGTATACATAGAGCTGCATAAGATGCTTGGTGTGGGTTAAAGAGTTAGGCTGAGTATTGTCAAATATCTGTTCATTATAATTTGTGATGTAAGTATCCTTGCTCACGGTCCATATGAATTTACACATTACATTACACAGGTGTGATATTTTTATATTTTTTATATTTGATGGGCGATGTTTATATTTAGACATTCTATTTCTTCCGTGTATTTAATGGTTTACTGTCGAATTGAATTAGACCTGATTTTAATAAACTATATAATTAAATGTAAAATGAAATTAATAGTTTTAATAGTTATGATTAAACGAATCAGGCAAGAGACTTACTTTACTCTTCTGTAAAATAGCTTCAACATCAGATCCAGCTAGCGGTGCAGCACCGCAAATGATATGTCGGACGGAACGATAGTGTGTTTCATTCACATCTGGGTGCTTGCCCAGGAGTATCGCTGTAAAGAAATTTATGATGGCGAATCAATAAATCTGAAATATTGTAAAACATCATGAAAGATCCACTATTTCCGCATGACACACGACTAGAGAGCTGTTCCATTAACAGAGACCGGGCAGTAGTGCCGTTTGATACACGCTGTACTTTTTAAACTGTGAACCCCAATCCGTCTGCCAAACGTAAGAATCTAATCGCGAATGTAAAAGAAATTCATAATCCACAAAAATAATCCAGCAATAAAGGAGTTTATGTAATTTATGTTGCTAAAGAATATGTTAAGCATTTTACTTACCAACAGGAGGAACGATATAAAGCAGCGTTGTTTGTTGAGTCTTCAAAATGTCCAAATACATGCTAGCGGAGAATTTGGCCATAGTGACCAGTTTGCAGCCCTTGGACAGATGGCCCATGAGACCAATCACTAACCCATAAATGTGGAAGAATGGCAGGAATGCAGGAAGAATATCTTGGAAATCACCTGGAGATAGAAATAAATATGGTATTAGAATAACTCCATAATGATGACAAGGATTCAGAATTCGGTAAAAGTATTTCTAGAGTTTTAAACCGAAGACTGTTCCCGGTGTATACTGGTGTAGTCAAAAATACTTATATTTTCTTATTGATGCTACGTCTACGTCTCTTGATTTAAAAGGTGTGATTTTAGTCTTCGATAACTACAGAAAAGGTATTTTGATCCAAATTCCCTCTGAACCAGTCATAATAATGCGAATCCCTGAGAGAGATATTATTGTCTATTGTGCTATTTTATCAGACGGTAATTATTATTTTTTTAAAGTAACTATCATGAGATATGTCTCATTTAGTGTGCTAAATTAACTAAAAATCGCGGGTTACACACGTGAATATACTGAGAATAGCTCTACTAGGTACGAGCCACAGAGGGGCTCTTCCTCATGAGCAGATTGCACGATCTAACTAATAGAACATTTTTTCTATTCACGTGAGTAACCCGCGATTTTTAGTTAATTTGATAATTATTATTAGACAAATAAAGGCATTATGTTAATTTAAAAAATAATTTTGTACAGAATTAAAACAATGAATTTAAAACAATTTATGTGGGTACCGAATAGATTTTAAAGATATCATTATGAAAAAGTAAAAATATTTATAAAAACTCTTTTAAACTGGCACTAGACAGATTCAAACTTATTTCAGGTAAGCTCAATTTACGAAAAAACCAGTATCAACAATAAATTGCCAAACTAATTTACCAGGTCTAAAATAAACCAAGAAATATAATCCAAACTGAAAATAAAACTATATTAAAGGCATAAAATAATTGTGAAACTTACTGTTTGCTACGTGAGGAAAACAGTTTTCTTTTTGATGCATAACTTCCATACCAGCTAGTATATTGTCAAAGGTTATCTCCACTCCTTTAGGTAATCCAGTAGTTCCACTAGAGAATGGAATACAAGCCACATCATCTCCTTTCCTTTCTACCTTGTCTAAAAGCCCAAAATCAGCTTCACCCGATTCTGCTACTTCAGAATATCTTACAACACCATCAGGAACAGGTTTGTTAGGATTGTCAACAAGAACTATTTTTGCTTGTATGTTAGCTGCCTTCAAAGACTTTGAAACGATGTCGTGGCATTCTGGTATTGTTATGAACAGTTTTGGCTCTGTGATTGTTATTTGATGTTTGAGTTCGACTGTAAAGAAAGAAAAATACAGAATTTTAACTTTATGCAGATGATATGAAGATACTGAGACCGATAATGACAGAATTGGATGCAATATCTCTGCAGAAGGATCTTGATAACTTTCAGGAGTACTGTGTCGTCAACAAACTGGACCTAAATGTTTCCAAATGTTTCGTATGCACTTTCACACGCAAACCGAGTCCTGTCCTTTATGACTACAAACTCTCAGGGTGCACAATATCCAGAGTTAACAACATTAGGGACCTTGGTGTGATTTTTGACTCAAAGCTAATTTTTGATACCCATATAGATAAAATAGTGAATGAGGCATCTAAGGCTTTGGGTTTCATCTTCAGAGTCTCTTCTGAATTTCGTAATATAAAAACATTAAAAATTTTATACTGTGCGTTCGTCCGCAGTCACCTGGAATACGCCTCCCAGATTTGGAATCCTAACTACGCCATATATGTAGATCGTGTCGAGAGTATTCAGAGGAGATTTCTTAGGTACATCCAGTTTCGCTCTAAAACTTACATCAATAACTATATAGATCGTTGCAAGCAGTTTCACACCCTTCCATTATGTGAGCGCCGTAAAATTGCAGATTTATCATTCCTGTTCAATATAGTAAATGGCTCATTAGATATACCGGAGTTGGTGGACAGAATAGGGTTGCGTGTGCCTTCTGCTTTTCTGCGCAAACCTGTACTTCTCAACGTCCCGTCTACCAACACTGTTTATAGACAAAATTCATACATGATAAGAGCGTGTCGGACATACAATTCAGAGTGCCGGAGGATTGATTTGGATTTGTTTCACACTAGCGTACGTAGATTAAAGAAATTAATGTCTTCAAGTTTCTTTCAAACATAATAATTATCTTATTTCTTTTTGTTTTTCTAAACAGTTTTTTTTTGTTTCGTCATATGCTGTCTTTTTAAACTAGTAATTTAATTACCTATAAGCGGAAACTTGTTATTGGCCGTTTATCTATAATTTAATCTATCCTTATGTTATACCTAGCTGTAAGTTTTCCTAAAATTGTAAAATAAAATAAAATAAAATAATTAACAGAAATGTATAAAGTGTCAATGGTATAGAAAAAAAACCGTTAAAGAACCTACGGAAGTCTCGAAATCAAGATTATTGAATTAAATTCTCAACAATAGATCCAAATCTCCTTTATTACAAGAGACCTTATAACGTAAGTATTAAAAAGTAGATGAATGTACACACGGCCACACATCAATCTATACAAAACCAGTTTATCCTGGTGTCGCGTCGCATCATCTTTCTGCACATTTAACGTTCAGTTTATACTGGTTATATAAAGCTCGATATGTAGCCGTGTGTACACATGCGAAGCAATGTTTGAATAAATGCATTGCGTTCTATATGCAACGTCGACTGATAATTTTGTTTTTCTTTACACCACACCCTTTAATACCAGATTCTTTATAATATGCTACAATAACACAATATCTATAATACTTATTTCTTGATAACTTAAGCTAAAAAATGCACTATAGGCACGACTACTGATAAAACTAAGACAGCAAATTATAACTAAAAATATGTATGTTATCCTTGGTATAATTAGCAATTTCTTGATACGATTGCGTGAGCATAAAATTTTCCAAAATCATAATTATTTATCAGTTTATTGAGCGCGTAAGTACTAGGTGTATCTTGAAAGTCATTACATTGTGCAGAATTATTTTTATTATGTATCGTCACCCAATTTTGTCCCTTTTTATGATATTGCCTAAGTATTTCAGCTGTCATCAGCTTTGGCACACCCATTTTGTTAAACCTTTTGCAAATAAAGATATTTCCAAATCTTTATTTGCTATAGCTTAGCTGGTGCGGATATACCCAAAGATTAAGCAAAATATTCAACAATATCATCGTCAATTAGATCGGAATACGTCTACACTGTTGAACAAATACATCCCTTTTAAGAAGCTTGTCTAGTGACCGTGACACAGTAAACACCTTTATTAGGATTTCATTTTCGGTTTAGCGATAGTGATAGATTTCATTTATTAAACGTCTTTATGTTGCATTTGCGTCTTTTTTTAATTGTCTACCTACTTCAGACTCATTAATCGAAGCTGTTACCCACCTACAAATTACAGGAAGCACTAATGTACAATTAAATATAGGTACCTAAACCAGCAAAAGGTATGCCTTATTATCACTGACCACAGCTGTTTTACAATGGATTAACATTTTGATAGTATTACAGGACTTATCATATCCTATTGTTACAGTTGTAAAATTGATATCGCTTCGTTGGAGTCGATCGTTGGTAAATTTTATCGTAATGTGCAATAAATGTCCGATTGTGAAGACGGTATCTAATCTTAGGGGGCACGACGTTAGAACATGATCGATATTATTCGATAACTAATGCTCTTTGCTCTCTTTATAGATAGTAACTTTTTCTTAGATAATGTGAATGATGACGAAGCAAAAATTTATTGTCGCCGAATATTTGACATGTTTATGTTTAAAAAAACCATTGGCTCCTGTTAATCCCATTAGAATAATGTCTGTCTTATTTCTGATAACACTTTTGTATTTGACCTTCCAAATAATGTGGAGTTTAATTTTGTTTTAACAATTGATTGCCCCACATTAGGATTTTCTCCTGTATCTTGGGTGCATTTACAAACATACAAGTTCACATACACATAACACCCAGTCCCGGAACAACAATCTGTGGATCACACAAAGAATTGTTCCGTGCGGGAATCGAACCCGTGACACGTTGGGCGGCAGCCAGTTGCCCAGCCACCCCGCCAACCGTGCAATCATAAAACATGCAAAATAGTGCTAAGTGGGTTTACTTTTATACTTTACTCTAAAATTATAGGGTATTAAAATTAAGGACATTTGAAATAGATAGATGACTGAAAATAATTTTGAAAGGAATAAGAAGACGCGCAAAAAATTGTATAATATGGCAATGAAAATCCTGACATAAACAGAACTAAAAGTTACGATACAAGTTGACAATATGTTAAAAAAAAACTCAAATCATCATTACGAACTAAAAATGGAAGATAAAAGACGAAACAATTGAGGTGTTAGTTTTAGCATATAGAGGTAATGTAACGCAGGCAGTGATAAACGAAATTCTGAAAACGTTCATTGTGCAATAAAGTTTGTTATCGAAGGAGGTAATAAAAATACTATTGAGTTTACAACATCTATAGCACTAATATAAAATACCCATATTAAAGGCACCAGAATAATAATCTCTTTATACGTCATCGTAAAATATTTTCAAAACGGCAAATAGTTAAAGTAAATATTGTTACATATAGTGTTCTGGATCGACGAACGAATTAAATATTGTAATGGTTGAGGAATCTCAATAGGAATAGTTATATATTCTTTATAGTATTTGTATCATCAGAGTGTCGGTAAAAAGCACGACGGGATAATAGTAAAATTATGGAACAGCTACGCTATTCTTTAACTCGTTGAGTACCGTCATTATAGACACAATTATAGAACAATAGGTTGCGGTCACCGATGACCGCTCGGTGTTTGACAGTTATGTCAATTCAAACTCTCAAAGTGAGCTTGATCGCATTCTCATCCGTCATTGATCAAGATTATTCTCACAACCAATGACAATGAAGTGTGGGAGAGTCATACTTCGGCACGAATGGGCCGGCTCGACCGGATGATACCACGGCCTCACAGAAAACCGACGCGTAACATCGCTTGCGTTGTGTTTCGTCGTATGAGTGAGGTTACCGGAGGCACAATTACCCCCTCCCTAGTCTCCACAATCCTCAAATTCCCAATTCCCAAAAGGCCGGTAACGCACTTGTAACGCCTTGGTGTTTCAAGTGTCCATGGGCGGCGCCGATTTCTTACCATCAGGTAATTCGTTTGTTCGTTTACCGGCTTATGCCATACATAAATTATTGTATTAAACTGTCAAATACCAAGCGGTCACCGGTGACCGCAACCTATTGTTCTATAATTGTGTCTACAAAACCGGTACTCAACGAGTTAAGTAGGTAATATTGAATGCTTTATAACACAATCAATTCCACCTACTTCACTTCGAGGTAGGCCTATACAATATCTGGCAATAGGATTTTAGTTCTCAAGATAAAGATGTTGATAAAATTTTACCTCCCTAAGCCTATAATACCAAAATCGTTTTATTTATTTGAAGCTTTTTCCATTGGTATATGTTTCAAGGTCACAACCATTTTCTTAATTTTCTGATCCCGCTATCATTTTGTTTTTAGTTTCCATTCATTTCTTATTATGAATTATTTTAATAATAACTTTCTAATGATACATATTTAAGTGTTCCATCTTGTTATTTGTATTAGTTTAATTGTTGTCTGAATTTCGTGCAATATTTCCATCAACGTTATCTTATACTTCAAAAAAAACAAATAGGTAGTAATTTTCAGTGAACTTATGCATATTTTTCTCTTTCAGCAATTATCTTAACATTTCCGTGTCGTTATCTACACATTTATCTTTAATATCAAGCCTTGAGATTATATTAGCGTCAAAAAATAAATATTCGCACATCAGTGCGATGAGATCACGGTACTAAGGCCACTCTAAAATTTTTAAATTATTATACATATCTACATTGATCTTCAACAATAGCTGTAACATAAATATATTATTCATAAATATGACTTCTAAATCATGCAATATTTCTTTTCAACCCAATGTCTATGTGTAATTAATTAGTATTAACATTTAATAAATATGGGTAGCTGGCGCGCGGAAAAAAAAACTACACGATAGCTCGATAGATGGCGTTGGGATCGAGTTAGATCGCGCTATGGTTTCGTTACATCGGTTTGGTTGGGTCCGCCCGGAATTTTGAGTGAGTTAACTTTGCGCAGAGGCAATATCGTAACCAATGAGGTTAATCCGAGGTGCGATTATTGCTAGTTGAAAACTTTACCAATACCCCGCCGTGTGGACGTGAAATACCGTCCGCTATGGCAATTTTTGAATGGCCGTAATTGGCCTAAGAAGTCTTAAAAATTGCTTACTTATCCCTACCCTAATTATAAATGTAATTTACATAGTATTGCTGTATTTTAATAAGTTATTATTTGTCGTCGAATTTCGACAATCATGTTGAGATTGTTGGTTTATTTATTTTATTTGTTTAATGTTTTATTTAGGTTATTTATGTGTGTAGTATACATATTACGTAACTTTTTTTTTATTTTTTCAATTGTGTTCTGGCTTCGCATCAACCACTTCATTTCTCTGCACTTCCCTATGGTTGACTGTAAGAGAATGCCTTAAGGCAATAAGTCCGCCATTCACTGATGTATTTTGTGAAGAAGAAATAAATAAATAAATAATGTAATTTTATCTATCGTGGGTGGGTACCGTTCTTGTATTTCTTCAGTTTCTACCTACACACATAATTTATTTACACAAACAATTTTATGTTCTATTTTGATGACGCATTCAATTTATTATTTTCATGTACCTACAATTTACAAAGCAATGGATGGTTATGTCTTTTGCTGTCTAGGAAATAAATAATAATACTGACTGAGCATAATCAAAATGTCGGCTTTAGTTCGGTGACCCTCCTAAAATAAACTAACTAACAAAAATATACTCACACTCTTTATAAATAGGGTTGACAGTTGTTAACACGCATCCCGCTTGGAAGCTCCCGAACGCCACCACGGGGAATTCGGGACAATTTGGCAACATAACAGCCACGACATCTCCCGGCTTCAAACCGAACTTCTTTAACAATGAAGTTGCGAAGACTGACGTATTCTTTTCCACCTGAGCGTAAGTGTAGGTCTTCTTAGTTTCGGCGCTTTCCTGTAAAGAAATAACACGAAAATATATTATACTTTATTTCCCAACAAATATGACACATTTTTAAACGCGTCCTAGACATTTCCTTACAAATCTTTGCGGTTATTGTAATTTCAACTTTAATTCTATAGCACTAAGATCGATTTGAGGATAACCCTGAATTGTTGACAGACAATTAGATGTTTTTGCCAATGACAAATAAAAGCCTAGAGCACAATGACATAATGTTGCAGTATTTCCTTGAAAAAGATCAAAGTCCGTTGTAGTTTGTGATAAGCCAACATGAATGTATGTACTAAGCTTAAATTTTATCAACGTGCCAGATAAGCCAATTGACGTGGGATAGTAATAGTACCTACATGAAGATTTTCATCAAGGTACAATAACAATTATACTGTTGCGAAGGTCATTAACATAGCGATCAGATTAATTGTACGATTAGGAGACATAAGAACCAGCATAACCTTACATTTAAATAATTTTGCTGAATATTGACAGTGCCATAACGTCATAACACGCTATGTCAACCCTAAGTATATACACGAGGATAACAATCGCATTGATGACGTGAATTTTGAACTTCCGAGCTCTGACACCACGAGTACCGATCTGACAGTCCCAAAAACTGAGTATTATATAGGTCCACACACAAATTGAACAAATAAATTAATTAATGAGTATTGTATACCATAACATACTCATTCAATTAAGTATAATGCATTTCGTTAGTAAAAGCATTACATTTAAAACCTCTTAACTCGTCGAGTACCGGTTTTGTAGACACAATTATAGAACAATAGGTTGCGGTCACCGGTGACCGCTTGGTGTTTGACAGTTTAATCGTTTTATAACACTTTCAATTTGCTAAATACAGCGCAAAATACCGCTTATGTCATACGCAGCGTGGATCAAAGTATGAAACAATACGTACCTAATCTGTAAAACAATACACTCCACTGGCTCTGATTGCATAGCACAATGAACCGGCAACCAATTATTACTGAGCCTGAGCTGACGTAAACAATCATGACATTCGACTTTTTCATTGAACAAACACTCGTAGAATTAAAAACTATGACTTTGGTACGATTAAAAAGTCAGTTTAACCCTTACTTAACTTGGGTAGTCGCAACATTGATATTATAACAAAGTCGATTGTTTAACTAAAATACCAATGTAGTTAGTTAGTAGTAGGTGGTAGTAGGCTTAAATAGTTGATAATGTCAAATCTTTAGCTTACAACTACTTCAATATTAAATTTCTTCTTCATTGTCGTGCTATGTGCCCGGTATATGGCAATAGGTTCACCCCCTTATTACATGGGACTCATAACATAAATAGTGAAAAGTGGGTGTTACATTGTACAGTGGCATAATGTGCACCTCTGCCTACCCCTTCGGGGATAAAAGGCGTGATATTATGTTATGTTATCATGTTATTATCCCTAATTTTGTGGGTTGATTTAATATATGGTTTTTTCTTTCATTCTTTCATCATCATCATCATTATCGTCCTAGCGTTATCCCCTATTAGCTTCTTCTATTCTCCCCAATGGTTCGCTTCTTCCATTCTCCTCAATCTCCTCAATCAAACGTTATTCATTGTATCTTTGCAACATTTTTTTTCCATACTCTTTTTCTAGTATCATAGGTATAGGTACCATCAGGTGATCCGATGATTTTTTTTCTCTTCTGGTTCTGTAACCACTATTGTACCAGAATTGTAACGGGAAGGCACTGCCTCTAAGCCTAAGGAGACAGAGCTTGATGTATTTAGATGTTGGTATATGAATACAAATTATTGAAAAAAAAAACAACAATTCGTTATTCATGTTTTATTTATGCCATACCATGTGTCTTAATTGTCTATTATTTTTATAAAAATAAATCTGACCCTGGCCTTATAGAAAAAAAAATACTTCCGACCTTAATAATATCTGAATAACAGTATCAATACACGAGTTACCAACCAGATCATCTCAATGCTATCACCTCGTCACGTTATCAGACCTGTGAGTTTAGAGTACCGTGTAAGTCTGCGTGGCAATTAGTCGTCTAGAGTGTGTAACCTAGATAAACAAAATGATTGATAAGACACCATTAATTGGCCCCACAGATGATTCAGTTGCTCCGTGGAATATTTATAGACATAGTCTAGAAAATTGTGGAGTATTTTCTCACTTGTTCTGGAAAACGCAACTCGTTATACTGGTTGATTGCTCCTCGATTGCACTAAGAGTACAGTCATTAAATACTTACTGATTGTCTGATACATTTTTAATTGTGTTCTAAGACTAACGCTCCTATTGTGTTTCTTTCAGAGTACAAAATTGAATATTGTGCTTTGGAGCAGCGCTTGCCAGCAAACATGGCTCTGGTAATATTCAAAACTCCAGATAATGAAGAACACGACTAAAGACTTTCACACGTTATCCAAATATCGAACCGAATCTCCTATGTACTCAACCACCGAAATAGTTCAATGTTGACCATACTCAACGTTTGATAGGTTTGTGGGGTACAATACAACAAACGATATTCGATTCTATTATAATGTTTACACAATTGCTCTTGACCTGACCAAAGTCCGCAAAGAATTGAGTCTGTCAACATGATCTATCATGCCTGGTGACACGCGGCTCCAATTTGCATAACAAAAATAACAACGAAAAATGACTTTTAGGCTATTATTTAATAATGTGATAACGATTGGTTTATTTGCTAGTCCGGCTTTTCAAGCGAGTCCAAAGTCTGGCTTGTTACGTTATTTTAAAATGTGTTCCATTATTAAAGCGGCTGTTATGACTAGACGCTTGGAAGACGGATTGGAGGTGAAAGAAGTAACTACCAATAGCGTAACTACAGGGTAGTCAATCGGCAAAATACCATGGGTCCCCAGCTGGAAGAGGTTTCAGAAGTTTTCATCTGAACTTCTCTGTTTTGTTTATGGGAACGGGGGTCCATCCGATTAATTTCCCATGGGCCCCGAACGGTACAACTACCAATGGACTTCATGCTACAATGTAAACCTTTATAATTATAACAAGTACCTATTGTCTAGTTACCAAAAAATTTAAATAACCAAAAATTATATAAGCTACATTTTTTAAGAAACCTAAGCAATCGAGACCTTGTTAAATTTATTTAGTTGAACATATTGAGTGCTGGTATATGAGACATAATAAAAATTAGTGTCTCGCGTTCTAGCATACCACAGGTTTAGTGAAGGTTCAAGTTTTCCTACATCGCTATAGAAATTAATCCACAGTTAATCTAAAACACTTTAAGAAGGATTTATTTAATAATATGACGAAATATTACTGAGTATTTTCTAATCGACCTTGATAACTGATTATCTAATAAATAATTTACTACCTAATAGGTACTTAGGCACTAAAGATAAAGCGAGCTATCTAAATAGGTATTACGATGCAAAAAAATGAAATTCTTAATGTCGAATTATAATTTTATCTATCTATCTATCTATTCTATCGTCTCATCAAGTATCCAAGTGACAATGATTAATTCCGTAATCGGTTAGTGTTAATTTCTTCAAGACAAAAGTCTTATTAATCTTACTTCTTACCAATATTATTACCTACTGCGAAAGTTTGTGACGATGTTTCTATAATAACTATCGCGAGACAGGTACTAAATTAACTAAAAATCGCGGGTTGCTCACCTGAAAATACAAAAAACAACTCTACTAGTTTCACGCTGTTCATGCACGCTGCTCATGAGGAAATTTCCTGTTTTGAACGGGTCTGCCCATTTTAAACCCCCACGCTAGAATTTCCTCCTGTGTCGTGGAGGTGCGTTTACAAACATACAAGTTCACTTCACATATACATGACACCTAGACCTGGAACAACAATCTGTGGATCACACAAAGAGTTGTTCCGTGCGGGATTCGAACCCGCGACATGATGCGCGGCAGCCAGTTGCCCAGCCACCACGCCAACCGTAACCGTAAATTAGGTACTAATAAATAGCAATTTCACCTAATTATCGAAATCTATACATATTTTAAAATACCTGCTAAACTTTTTCAATAAACAACAACTGTGTCAACGTACACACGGCCACAATTCTATATTCCGTGCGGCCACACATCAATCTATACAAAACCAGTTTATCCTGGTGTCGCGTCGCATCATCTTTCCGCACATTTAACGTTCAGTTTATACTGGTTATGTAAAGCTCGATATGTAGCCGTGTGTACGTTCAAAATTTGACTTTGAAATAACATGTTATAGGTCAAATTTGTTTGCAAATTAGACGCTAATTGTTGTCGCCAAAACGACCTTGGTTTTGCATACTTTTATTGTGAATCTCCTTACGTATTTGACCTTAGCTTAGTTTTTAAAAAGGAGGACATTGAGATCACTAGCTGTTCCGCAAATGGCGATTAACCGGTCTTGTCAATGTTAATAATAAGTGCTAAGGCCGGTAACATTGCTTTTAATGGCTAGGATGTTCTTCAGAACAACTAAATCCATTTAGTTGTAGTACTAATTTAAAGCTAAATAATATCAATTGGGTTGGTGTATCGAATGTGCAACAAAGTGCTGCGTTACATTAAATGCCACAAGTAGGATGCAAGTGTGGGAGAACCATGCTTCGGCGCGAATGGGCCGGCTCGACTCGAGTGATACCACAGAAAATCGACGCGTTGTGTTTCGTCGTGTGAGTGGGGTTACCGGAGAAATAATTATACCTCTCCCCAATATTCCCAATCCCCGAATCCCTAACAAACCTCAAATACCTAATCCCCAAACAGCCGGTAATACACTGGTACCGCCTCTGGTGTTTCGAGTTTTAATGAGCGCCTCCAATTTGCTTACCATCAGGTGATACATCTGCTCGTTTACCGGCTTATCCCATAAAAAATAGGAGATTAAAAAATATACACTTTAACACGTTAAACGCCATGGCAGTCACTGGTGACCGACATTAGCGGAGGATTTGCCTTCAACAGTTTTTTATTGGCAGCCAATGCCTTAA